GGCAGTGAATTCGTTTTTTCTGTATGTTTTTCAAATCAGTGTTATACAGTAGGCTAAGTGTCATAGACAGTGTTACATTGCTATTATTATCCTTAAAATATATATAAAACAAAACCATTTATGATCTTTTTTTTTGGGTGGTTTACTAATGACAGTTAATTCTGTTTCTGCTATTGATGGTTTCATTTTTGTGAAAAATAATAACATAATACAATTCAATAACGTGCTTTAACCACTAGATGTGCCTTTCTATCAGCTGTGCACCGTTTATGGTGTAAATACAGCGTATCTACCAATTGGATCAAATATAAAAGTCAGCCGAATTAGTATTGATACTGCAAGGAGACGTATTGTGTGAAAATAAATGGAAGATGTTGTTTAATTGCTGATATATTTATGATCTACGTCACGTTTTCAGTTTTGGCGGCAGTGCTTCCTGTTTGTCCAGAAGTCTTCTCATCAGGGCTCTATAAATACAGAACAACGGCAGATATGTAATATTTAATGCAGCCGAACCGTGTATTACAATGCCGTTATGTAATGACCTCCAAAGAGAAAAGCAAGCAAACTCGGAATAAAGTATTATTTTATTTTTAATTGTTTTTTCGGATTTCACATCAACAGTAAGTCCGGTTAACTAAAATGTCCGTGCGGAACAATACCCCCAACCCATAGATCCGTGGGTGAATAATGTCAATCACCACATTACACCATAGACTGTATATATAAAGCATTACACACACCCCTTCACATTTACATTTTAATTTACATTAAAGTATTTCGTGAGGCCTTCTAAAATGTTTTTAAATATAATTAGGGTTGTAGTTGAAGAGTTTGTAAATTGCGTTGTCTGGCAACGCAATCGCACAACGTCACGTCCGTTAATTCCACATCCACACCAGTCTATGATCCACACACATGGATTAACATTGATTTAATACATTAATGTAGCCTTTGTTTCTGCTAAAAGAGGTGTCGACCAGCTAGGGCAACAAGAAAATCGGCGAAATCAAGTGTGACGATTAAAAAATAAATTAAAAAACATCTCATTTTGACAATAAAAACCGACCAATAGGCGCGGGAGACCATTTGCTTGGCACTTCCGGGTATTTCTCCACTGGTTGGGCCATGTTAACAATACCGTGTAACTGTCACGTTTGAAGGGACGAAACCGTGACATATTCACGTCTCCCAGCATGGTAGATCGTCACATGTTCACGTCTTGCCGTGATACCGGGTTGCAGAAAACACAAACCCTCTCTATTTTCCTCCATACCCAAATCTCTAAAAAAGGGGCTGCAACAGATCTGATAAAAACTGATCCAGATTTGAACACTTCAATGACGTCACAGAAGTGGCGCTATGGCTATTGGGCCAACTCTCCACCTATCAGGGGAATGTGGGGTTGGGGCCACGGCCGGCCATTGCCACTCGAAAGCGCTGGAGACGCTGTAGTACATATGCCAGGCCTGTAAGAGGCGCTGTAGTCTGCCACAAAAGCAGCGAGGAAGACTTCCTGCCCATAGTTACCATGGTTACCCTTCTGTTTATTCTCCGCTGAGGCTTTTTTTTCTCCCTCCCCGAGGCAAGCGTTTGCTCCCGCTGCTTTAATTCAATGCAATCCCTCCCCGTCGAGGCAAGCACTGTAATTCTCTCCGGTTAGTCCACCAGCAGATGACAAACACCCACCTCTCCGCCTCTTCCAAGGAACGAGGGGACCGTGCGGCAGAGTTTCAGTTTCAGTTTCTTTCGCCGGTCAAGATGTCCGTTAAAGTTGAAATCTTCCGGACAAAATTAGAAAAGTGCCGGTCAAAGGTCTGCTTTGTTATTTATTGAGCTTTAAAACAAATGAATAACGACTCTATATAATAAAACACGGAGGACGGAGATCTCTTTTTCTCCCCCTCTTGACTTGATCAGAGCACGGCTCCCCTCTCCTGCAGGGGGGCGTGGTCAGCTGCAGTCACAGAATCAGCCCCGTAGACAGCAAACAGCACATAGAGCGAAATGAGGCATGGCTAAAATGCATGATCTGTTTGGTATTTTGAAAACAGAAACGTATAAATATACCTTATATAGGTATGGCCCTACAATATAACATTTAAATATAGCATGATATATAGCTTTTCATTATTTGTATTAAATGTCTACTTATATCCCACTCCCCTGATGCAGCCTATCAGCTCTCAGAGGCAGGCTGTCAGGAGGACGCACCCCCCCTAATGCTGCATTCAAAGTCTGCTCGTAAACTCCTACAACTTAAATATTTCCATTTGATCAGCCTTTACTTCCTGTGCATTACATCTCAGGGGCAAACATTGTGTTGCTTCAATTACATGTATCAGATAATACTCGCTTTTAAATTCCTTGCAGATTCATATTTTATATATAAAACACAATCAGCTATGCATTTTAGTAGATACGTGAGATCAGGGCCGTGCCTCCCTACAGGCCGATCACGCAGACTGGCGCAATTAGTGTGGCGCGGCACGGTTTCGCCACTGCGAGGCTCCACCTAGCACGCCGACGCCCGCGAAACAGAGGGCCTCATCATATATCTTTGCGTGGGGCCTCATGTTGGCCAGGGACGGGCCTGGAAACATGTTCATCCACAATGAGACACAGGTACACAGACACTGTGATTGGTTGGTTTGTATTTATTATGTTGATGTTTTAATGAGCACAAAGCAGCAGCAGCAGCAGCAGGGTTTTACAGATATTTTAGGATATGTTAAACTTGATAAGATTTGATCACACACTTCTCTACGGCACACATTTAAACATTATGTTAACAAATCTGTATATCTCAAAAGCACACTGAATTAACATTCTCATTTAACACGTTTGTACCCATTCACCTACATTAAAATCTCTGTTTAAAAGATTTCTTCGGTGCCAATTTGGACAGGAGGAACTTTATCAATAATAGACTTTAAAGACTTTTCAACGAATAGCAGGTTTGTCTTATAAGTTTAACTTGAATTTTGTGTGAATTTGTAAGAGTCATTTACTTAAATCAGGTTTGTTATTCTTCCATCTATTCTTCTCTAATGCACCTTAGATAAAACATCAGTGATCCAAAGCTTCAGCTCAAAAGCATCTATGTTAATAGTTTAATAGCATCCTTCATTTCCCGTTGATTGCAAATGCATTGCACATGCACTTTTGTCCCTTCAAAATGCATTTATTGGAATAATAAACCCCTGAGGTCTTCTTACTTCTGTGTATGCGACATGATTTTGACAACAACAACAACAACAACAACAATTCCTCCAATAATCCTCCAGTCTGAAAGAAACAAAAGATCAATCAGTCATCTCATATCAACAGCAAGCACAACATGATTTAGATCACATGGGTTTTTTCTTATTACAAAGGAAATAAAATACACTTTTTTAAAATCTGTTTTTTTACAGCTTTGGCCATTTGTCCATTTAGTAATTTTCAATATATATATTATTTTAAAGCCTGGTTGGCATCTTGCTAGAAGTCACATTTTCGTGCTTTTCCGATACAAATGATGGCCACCACCAGCGTTAGTAAAACTGCACTATTTTATTCAAATGTATCGTACTCTGTTTCATTTGCACTATTTATTTATTTTTTGTCTTATGTCCTATATATAATATGTTGCATTGTTGGAGGAACCTAAGATTTGCATTGCCATAACTACACTGTAGCTGCTGTGCACGTGATAATAAAACCCTTGAATCTTGAATCTATACTACGTGTTGCAGCCATTACACTCATATTGGAGTTATGCATAGAAATCTATCACGGCTTCTGGTTGAGAAACGTCTGCAATCTGGTGTTATCCCTTTTCTCAGAAATGTCCAATTTGGCCAAAAAAACACTGTATTTTTATGATCAAATATTTTACACAAGAGACGAGCATGACCATCAGACTAGACAAGCTACATCAGGCCATCTGCTGGCACCTACACCCAGGACACATCTTCTGAACTCTTCTGTGACTTATAGAGCTACAATGGAACTCATTGCCAAACTACCTTGCTGACATAGAGTCCAGAGCCTCTTTCAAGAAGAGATTGGAGTGCCATCTACTAATGAGCATGAACCCCTTGTGAACTGTGAACCCTAATTTAATTTTATTTCATGCTTTGTACTGGTGGGTGTCTTGTGCACTCATCCTTGGCTGAGTTTGATGTTGAAAGTGGATGAGATTGTTCATGATGTGTGTGATGTTGTTAATGATGTCAGGACTTATGTCTTGAATGTTGTTGTGTTGAGTAGTATTGTTGTATTGTTTTAAGTGTCGAACCCCAGGAAGAGTAGCTTTTGTCAAGAGCAAAAGCTAATGGGGATCCTAAATAAACATAGATTACATGTTACTTGTTAGACACTTTTATCCAAAGCGACTTACTTACTCAATACTGTAGCCGATATGAGATGAAGTGTCTTGGAACACAACGACATGCACCAACGTCCAACCCTCTGCGGCACACGCATCCCTTAAGCATAAACATAAACATATGTTATTTGTTATATTTTGAACACTAGATGGCGTAATGGGGCCACAGGATATAATTGATGTCCCTGGTACAGGTGGGTGATCTGGGACTGGGAAGAGCAAACTGTTTTTTGACCGTGTTTGTTGAAAAATAAATGGTATTGAAAGAAATGGAGATTACACGTGTCCAACTAGTTTACCCAGTTCAGCCATTCCCTCTGTGATATTGAGTGGCAATAGTCACCACACTACGTTTCAACACACCTACCCACATTGCTTTTTGTTGGGGTTTTTAAACCAGCTAATCGTTAGCATCATATAATAGTCAAATAACTGTACGGCACGTTTAGAATTTGATCCTAGAGTGAGCAACATTCATTAGTTTAGTTTTATCAATTGTTGATCTGCAGTTCAGCGTCAAGATACAAATTGATTTGCAGCTTCTTAAGAAAATACGAATTAGGATATTTTGGGTATTATGATATAATATGTTAAATAAATAGAAGGTTATTATTAAAGCCATACTTACAAGGTCGCCAGCTGCTGACCTGAAGGGGAAGAACAAAAACGAGTGTCATTCAGAAGAAATTCATCCATTCAGAGGTAAACCACAGCAATGATTCCTAACCTCTTGAAGGGATAGTTTGAATGTTATTGGTTGGGGTTTATTGAGGTATTTATAAGGTATAGTTAGAGCTTATGGCAAGGTTAAGCACTGAAGATATTCCAAATATACCGTACACTTAGAATTATCTTTAATTATTTCCGTTGGGTTTCCCTTTTTTGAGGTGCGCTCCGCCATCTACTGTAACTGATACAATGCCTATAGATAAACACCTCATACAACCCCACTTCTAAACATCCAAACTAGCCCTTTAAAGTCACATGATCAGTTTTCTTCTTATTGATTGTGTGTGAAATGGATTACCGGTCCAGGGGAAACTCCAAGAACATCCTTGACCTGAAACCAGGCCATGTCATTGCGGTTGCAGATCAGCATTTTGCTCTGATGGAACAGAACGTCTACGGTGACGATGACATCCGGGTTTTCCACGAGTCTCCTGCTTTCAGGCACAAAATGATCTTTGTCGTAGGTGTGATGCATCACCACCAGAACGATTGGTTTCCCACCTGTGAGCACAGAGATAATGTTGGGAAAATACTGAAGGTACTCTTCCAATATCAGAGTACACATGATAACAAAGGTATCCCAACTGTAGCTGTGTACATGACAGGATGTATGATTACCTAGAAGAGCATCAGGACTGTTTGAGGCATATGATAGCTATGTGATTAACATGATGATTCAGCCTCTATGGAGATAGACATATGACAAGCATGATCATTTCTGACGTGGAGCTAATCTGAACTAAACATTGAAGACTGCTTTATATTCCTCCATCTTGTGACTGTGTAACTCCCTCTCTTGGATATCAGCATGTGAAGGACACTGTTCAGGAACTAGTTGATGCTCTGTATGTGATGACTACTTCCATTCTGGAGAGGATCACAAGCGCATGGATCCTGATTATTGAAGCTCAAGCCGGTGACCAGTGATTATTAACATTTTGAGAAAAGTCCGAATTTTGAGATATTTGAGAAAAGTCAGATTTTGGAAAAAAAAGTCAGATTTTGACATTTTTGAGAAAAAGTCAGAATTTTGAGAAAAAGTCCGAATTTTTAGAAAAAGTCAGTATTTTGATATTTTGACCAAAAGTCCGAATTTTGACATTTTGACAAAAATACCAACAAATTCTCTTTTTGTTTTGACTACTTCCATTCTTGAGAGGATAATAAATACATGGATTCTGATATTGAAGCTCAAGCCGGTGACGAGTGAGATTTTTCTAACAGATAACACAACGTTTTTTAACATTTCCCTGTGTACCTTTGAATAACCAGTGAGAAATTGGCCAATCATCGTCCTAGACATTTCCTACCTGGGATTTTGTCCATTGCCTCTCCGATGTCTGTTCCAACTCGAGACGCGATGGGACAGAAAAGCACCAAGTAGTCACTTTGTTCAGGAGAGATCACCTCGATTTGACCCATCCCTTTGAGGTCATTAACATAGGTCTCATGAGCACCGTTGGTACATCCTGCCACGGAGACATGGAATTTCTTCCCCGGCACTAAACACAGAGAAGATTTGTTTTGAGTAATTTTGTTTAGCTTCATACCACAAACCCAGATGCAGAAGAACCGTGTCCAAAAGTGTGACTTAAAGTTTCAAAAGCCACCAGACTCCATTGCAAAAATACAGAAGTAAAGTTTTCACATCTTCCCATAATATAACGGACCAATATGCTTGCTTTTGTTCTGTTTTTACCTCTATGTCATTATTAACGACCAGAGATCCAGTTGTAAAGGTGTATGTTGGTTTATCACAATAACCAACTCCTATCTCACTGCATTTTATCCGTTAAACCAGGGGTTCCCAACGTTTATTGTGCCAAGGACCGGACATTAAAAAAAAATCGCGGACCGGTTGTCAATTTTAACTGATTTTAATATTTACTCACCACCAGCAGGTAGCAACAGAGGCTAATTGTATGTAACAGCCTGAACAAATACTAGAACACTATGCATCCAAAACATATTAACAAAGTTTAAAAAAGAACCGGTGTTGTTTTTTGGTTTTTCGGAAAACCAAAAAACCGATGTTTTTCAGTTTTTATAAATAAATAATAAATCAACTTTTTGGTTTTGTTTGATTGATTTACGGATAATCCAGTGAATGCTGAGAAAACGAGGAGAAGGCGCATTATGAAGGAGATGTCCGGTCGCCTGTGTGTGTGTGTGTGTGTGTGTGTGTGTGTGTGTGTGTGTGTGTGTGTGTGTGTGTGTGTGTGTGTGTGTGTGTGTGTGTGTGTGTGTGTGTGTGTGTGTGTGTGTGTGTGTGTCACTGGCATTTGTTTTCAGAAGATATTATGATAGTGTCGTTCGTTCCGGTGCACTCCCGACAGCATTTAGCACTACATCGAGATTAAGTTTAAACAAATTTATTTTGGGAACAGCCGCATATATGCCGGTGTCGGACAGACACAAACACACAGAGCTGAGCTGAGCAGAGCACATACACACACACATCATGCGCCTTGGTGACTGACTGGACATCTCCTTCATAAAACTAATAAAAGGGGGAGTAATCGGGCAGTTCGATGTGTGTAGATGTGTGTGTGGTTAACACGTAGCAGCCTGCAGTCACTCTTAAACTGTTCTGATTAAGTTAAACACAGCGAAGGCGGTGCGTAAAAAGGCACAGCTCTTTACCGAGTATACGTCCCGCTGCCTCCTGATGCTGCAGCCATGTCATGAAGTGAAGGAGGGTTTCCTTCTATAAAACAGCTGCGGGCAGCAGATACCGTGAGAGTCCCGGACATTAATTCATAGATCAAGGCAGACTGGTTTACTCTCCTGTTTTGCCAATCCGGTGCTTAAACAAATAGCTCTACACCCCTGGCCGACATGTCCTTAAAATTAAGTCCGAGTTTGAAATCTATCTCAAATAATGTATGCACCACCATTTCCCCACATAAACATAACAGTCTGCAATCAAACGGTTGTCTCCTGTGCGCTCCTCTTCCTACTTGGCGCACCGGTAACATGCTCGTGCGCACAAGAGGCTGAGACCTTAGGCTGAGCCGCCGAATCCCTCGGAACATCATAAAAGCCATTTTCAACAGTTTTCTGGTGAAAGATTAACTAGCTACTGGATGAAATAATATGACTGGTGGCATAGGTGCGAAAATTAAACACTTTTTGAAAAAAATATTATGATAAAATATTTTTATATATTTATAATTCTGCAAATATTACAATAAACTCACAGCTATTTCGCGGCCCGGCAGTAACACCTCCACGGCCCGGTACCGGTCCGCGGACCGGGGGTTGGGAACCCCTGCGTTAAACCATTAAAAAAGTATCAGAAATATCAGTAAAGCAGCTTTATTTTAATGACTAAATGTAGTGTAGTGTCTATAATACTGGAATATCGCAGTCTTGAAAGAACACCATGGTGGAAAAGTACTTATTTTGTTCACTTAAAGCCAACTTGTTTTTCTCATATTCCCCTTGCGCTCTATAAGAATCACTTATCTGACATTTTTGCGTGGCAGCAGCATAAAAGACAAGGCGTTGCACATAAGAGAAATTAAAAGGGTAGAAATAAAGAATTAAAAAATGTAAACATCTCAAAATAGAAAAAGAAAAGCATTACAAAAAATTAAAAATATACATGTTGAGATACCAATTTACAATAATTCAACATGTTTTTTTTTATGTTCTTATATACCTTTTGTAATTGTATTTAACCCAACAGCTCCTTAGATGAAAATCACTTGTATAACTCACCCTTAATACAAATGCATTTAAATTTGACATTTACACTTATTGTGAGTGAAAAATAATAATATTAAGACTCACTTCTAGCAGTTTCAACATCTATGTTAAGTGCTTTTATTGAGGCACTTGACACTTGCTTTTCTTCTATAAGCTTTGATAGTTCTGGGTGAGGGACACCAGGCTTATGAATGATTTTAATGTTTTTGTTGTTGTGAGGAAATACTGTATATTGCACCCCTAATCTTTCTTCCTATCCCCTGCAATACCCTCACGCACCTCTAGGGTTGGGAACCACTGACTTAAAGAACCAGCTTTAGTGACATCCATTGGTGAAAATGCAGATTGCAACTAAGTGCTGCAAGAATTAGTATCATGTTTCAATGCCAACCTAGAAGGACGCGCCCCCCCTAATGCTGCATTCAAAGTCTGCTCGTAAACTCCTACAACTTAAATATTTCCATTTTATCAGCCTTTACTTCCTGTGCATTACATCTCAGGGGCAAACATTGTGTTGCTTCAATTACATGTATCAGATAATACTCGTTTTTAAATTCCTTGCAGATTCATATTTTATATATAAAACACAATCAGCTATGCATTATAGTAGATACGTGAGATCAGGGCCGTGCCTGCCTACAGGCGGATCACGCAGACTGGCGCAATTAGTGTGGCGCGGCACGGTTTCGCCACTGCGAGGCTCCACCTCGCACCCCCCCCCCCCCTGTTCAGGAACTAGTTGATGCTCTGTATGTGATGACTACTTCCATTCTTGAGAGGATCACAAACACATGTATCCTGAGATTGAAGCTCAAGCCGGTGACCAGTGATTATTAACATTTTGAGAAAAAGTCATCATTTTGAGATTTTTGAGAAAAGTCATAATTTTGAGAAAAAGTCATAATTTTGAGAAAAAAGTTCGAATTTTGAAAAAGTCAGAATTTTGAGATTTTGACAAAAATACCAACAAATTCTCTTTTTTTGTTTTGACTACCTCCATTCTTGAGAGGATAATAAATACATGGATCCTGATATTGAAGCTCAAGAGATTTTTCTAACAGATAACACAACGTTTTTTTAAACATTTCCCTGTACCAGTGGGAAATCGGCCAATCATCGTCCTAGACATTTCCTACCTGAGATTTTGTCCATTGCCTCTCTGATGTCTGAAAGAAAGAAAAGATCAATCAGTCATCTCATATCAACAGCAAGCACAACATGATTTAGATCAGTGGTTCTCAACTGGTCAGGCCTCGGGACCCACTTTTTACTTGGTCAATACATCGCGACCCAACATTTTGAAGCACTCAAATCTATTCAACAAAAAATCGTGCTGTAATATATACGCTTTTGAGCATACAATATTAATAAAAGTGAAGTACAGTGCATATATCCCTTATATCCCTTCACAGAACTAAAGTATGCTTTTAAAAAAGGTTTAATGAGATGATGGAATCAAAGCTGAACTATATAAAAAGGCACACATGCTGAAACCCAACCCCAGCAGAGGGGTCTGGGGGGATTCTCCCCCAGGAGATTTTTAGAAATACTAACATAAATTACGCATTCTGGTACACTCTGAGAAGAAAATCGGGCCTTCAAAATAAAAGTTTGACTTTTTCCCCCCAAAAAATAAATAAATTCCAATTTTTCATTTCCAACTTTTGTTTCTTCACTCACACATCCGCGACCCACTCGAAACGGGTCCGCGACCCAAAAGTGGGAACTTTTGAGAACTACTGATTTAGATCACATGGGTTTTTTCTTATTACAAAGGAAATAAAATACACTTTTTTACAATCTGTTGTTTTACAGCTTTGGCCATTTGTTCATTCAGTCATTTTCAATATATATATTTTTTAAAGCCTGGTTGGCATCTTGCTAGGAATCACATGTTCCTACTTTTCCGATACAAATGATGGCCACCACCAGCGTAAGTAAAACTGTAGTACCTCAATCTTAAAATATCATATAATGAAGAATATGACGTCTTCTTGAGTAATTTCAAGAACAAATAGAAGTTAACGTGCCATTTCATAAAACCCATAGGTTTTAACTATATGTTAGTAGTTATAGTTAATTGCATTTCTCTGTACAATGTTTAACCTTACATTCTCTTCTTTCACCTGCACTATTTTATTAAAATTGATTGTACTCTGTTTCATTTGCACTATTTCAAGTTTTTTATTATATATATTTTTTTGTCTTATGTCCTGTATATATAATATGTTGCATTGTTGGAGGAACCTAAGATTTGCATTGCCATAACTACACTGTAGCTGCTGTGCACGTGATAATAAAACCCTTGAATCTTGAATCTATACTACGTGTTGCAGCCATTACACTCATATTGGAGTTATGCATAGAAATCTATCATGGCTTCTGGTTGAGAAACGTCTGCAATCTCGTGTTATCACTTTTCTCAGAAATGTCCAATTTGGCAAAAAAACACTGTATTTTTATGATCAAATAGTTTACACAAGAGACGAGCATGACCATAAGACTAGACAAGCTACATCAGGCCATCTACTGGCACCTACACCCAGGACACATCTTCTGAACTCTTCTGTGACTTATAGAGCTACAATGGAACTCATTGCCAAACTACCTTGCTGACATAGAGTCCAGAGCCTCTTTCAAGAAGAGATTGAAGGGCCATCTACTAATGACCATGTACCCCTTGTGAACTGTGAACCCTAATTTAATTTAATTTCATGCTTTGTACTGGTGGGTGTCTTGTGCACTCATCCTTGGCTGAGTTTGATGTTGAAAGTGGATGAGATTGTTCATGATGTGTGTGATGTTGTTAATGATGTCAGGACTTATGTCTTGAATGTTGTTGTGTTGAGTATTGTTGTATTGTTTTAAGTGTCGGACCCCAGGAAGAGTAGCTTTCTTCAAGAGCAAAAGCTAACGGGCATCCTAAATAAACATAAACATAAACATATGTTATTTGTTATATTTTGAACACTAGATGGCGTAATGGGGCCACAGGATATAATTGATGTCCCTGGTTCAGGTGGGTGATCAGGGACTGGGAAGAGCAAACAGTTTTTTGACCGTGTTTGTTGGAAAATAAATGGTATTGAAAGCAATGGAGATCACACGCGTCCAACTAGTTTACCCAGTTCAGCCATTCCCTCTGTGATATTGAGTGGCAATAGTCACCACACTACGTTTCAACACACCTACCCACATTGCTTTTTGTTGGGGTTTTTAAACCAGCTAATCGTTAGCATCATATAATAGTCAAATAACTGTACGGCACGTTTAGAATTTGATCCTAGAGTGAGCAACATTCATTAGTTTAGTTTTATCAATTGTTGATCTGCAGTTCAGCGTCAAGATACAAATTGATTTGCAGCTTCTTAAGAAAATACGAATTAGGATATTTTGGGTATTATGATATAATATGTTACTAAATGCATTCTAACTTTAAAAAACCCCGGTTTTAACCTCCTAACAGCTTCTTTTTTTTACACGTGAGTACTACTAGGTAAATATCACTTCACAGCCACTATAGACAGAAGGTTTTCACATGGCAATGGCTTATTTATGTAGATATTGGAAAACTGTCATCTGAAAATAGAAGGTTATTATTAAAGCCATACTTACAATATAGGCTGATGGCCTGAAAGAGAAGAAAAAAAACGAGTGTCATTCAGAAGAAATTCATCCATTCAGAGGTAAACCACAGCAATGATTCCTAACCTCTTGAAGGGATAGTTTGAATGTTATTGGTTGGGGTTTATTGAGGTATTTATAAGGTATAGTTAGAGCTTATGGCAAGGTTAAGCACTGAAGATATTCCAAATATACCGTACACTTAGAATTATCTTTCATTATTTACGTTGGGTTTCCCTTTTTTGGGGTGCGCTCCGCCATCTACTGTAACTGATACAATGCCTATAGATAAACACCTCATACAACCCCACTTCTAAACATCCAAACTAGCCCTTTAAAGTCACATGATCAGTTCTCTTCACATTGATTGTGTGTGAAATGGATTACCGGTCCAGGGGAAACCAAAAGAACCCCCTTGACCTGAAACCAGGCCGTGTCAATTTGGACAGGAGGAACTTTATCAATAATACTGGAGAGCCGACTTTAAAGACTTTTCAACGAATGGCAGGTTTGTCTTATAAGTTTAACTTGAATTTTGTGTGAATTTGTAAGTGTCATTTACTTAAATCAGGTTTGTTATTCTTCCATCTATTCTTCTCTAATGCACCTTAGATAAAACATCAGTGATCCAAAGCTTCAGCTCAAAAGCATCTATGTTAATAGTTGAATAGCATCCTTCATTTCCCGTTGATTGCACATGCATTGCACATGCACTTTAGTCCCTTCAAAATGCATTTATTGGAATAATAAACCCCAGAGGTCTTCTTACTTCTGTGCATAGTGCACTGCCACAGACACAATGATTACTACAACAACTACAACAACAATTCCTCCAATAATCCTCCAGTCTGAAAGAAACAAAAGATCAATCAGTCATCTCATATCAACAGCAAGCACAACATGATTTAGATCACATGGGTTTTTTCTTATTACAAAGGAAATAAAATACACTTTTTTACAATCTGTTTTTTTACAGCTTTGGCCATTTGTCCATTTAGTCATTTTCAATATATATATTTTTTAAAGCCTGGTTGGCATCTTGCTAGGAGTCACATGTTCATAATTGTTTCCGATACAAAAGATGGCCACCACCAGCGTTGCCAGAAGGGAGAAGTAAAACTATAGTACCTCAATCTTAAAATATCATATAATGAAGAACATGAGTCATTTCAAGAACATATCGAAGTTAACGTGCCATTTCATAAAACCCATAGGTATTAACTATATGTTAGTAGTTATAGTTAATTGCATTTCACTGTACAATATTTAACTTTACATTCTCTTCTTTCACCTGCACTATTTTATTCAAATTGAAACTCAGTTTCATTTGCACTATTTCATTGTTGGAGGAACTTAAGCTTTGCATTGCCATAACTACACTGTAGCTCAGGGGTGGGCAAACTTTTTGGCTCGGGGGCCACTATGAGTTTTAAAATGTAACAGACGGGCTGGGCCAGTAGCAGATCGGTGAAAAAATATTTAGCTGTCCACTCCTTATTAAACACTCGGCACTCATTGTCGACTTTTCTTTTCTTTGGTCCACTCATTGTTACAGATGCAGGTTCAAAGGTGAATTAGGTTCAAAGGTGAGTTATTGCGTCATTGCGTCATCGTTTGCGTCATGACGTAATCGTTTACGTGCCTTCTTATGACCCACACAGAGTTTTACGTCGCTGATTTTCTCCGCAACACCGCTCACAACAACATCAATAGAGGACTGCGTCGGGTCGTTTTTAATCATACGAAGCCAGATTAGATTAAATAACTACTTCTCCAACCTTACTTTCTCCAGAGTGCCGTGGTACATTGTTTATTAATGTGATTCAGCGCCGGTATTACCGCCCGCTGCAGTGCTGCTCGTGCACCGGAGTGTATTCTACTGTTAATTCAAGGCAGCGGCCGCTGTGAAGTATTCACTGTCCGACTGTCACACAAGCAGCTGATACATATCCCCCATCCCCATCAGTGAATGTGTTTCAGTATGAATTGACGCTGTTTGGCATCACAACGCTGTTATGAAAGTTTCTCTGGCATTCTACAGGTGATGTTAGCATAGCAACCGAAGCTAATCAGACTATCTCGACTACTTGTTGCTATCATATTGTGGCATAAGCCGTTTTCTACACAAAATAAACAGAATCACACTAAGCTGGTTAGTGTTGCCTGACTTTATATAAGTGTGCGTAAGTGTGTGGTCGCATTCTAGTCCCCTTTTTCAGCGCTACTGCTTGTTACAATTTGTATTCGCTGTACTACTAACCGTGAACTGACCCCCTCCAATGTAAGCATGACGTATTTGGTGGGTTGCCGACTCCAGCAAAAGGTAATTTGTGTCTAGAGTGCGCCATCTAGTGGGATCAACTGAAATGCTGGGTATTGCAGGAAAAAGGCTAAATGAATGCGGTCTTTACTATAATTTGGACAATTTTGTACCAATATTCGGCGGGCCGGATTAAAAAGCCCAACGGGCCGTATATGGCCCGCGGGCCTTAGTTTGCCCATGCCTGCTGTAGCTGCTGTGCATGTGATAATAAAACCCTTGAATCTTGAATCTATACTACGTGTTGCAGCCATTACACTCATATTGGAGTTATGCATAGAAATCTATCATGGCTTCCGGTTGAGAAACGTCTGCAATCTGGTGTTATCCCTTTTCTCAGAAATGTCCAATTTGGCAAAAAAAACACTGTATTTTTATGATCAAATAGTTTACACAAGAGACGAGCATGACCATAAGACTAGACAAGCTACATCAGGCCATCTACTGGCACCTACACCCAGGACACATCTTCTGAACTCTTCTGTGACTTATAGAGCTACAATGGAACTCATTGCCAAACTACCTTGCTGACATAGAGTCCAGAGCCTCTTTCAAGAAGAGATTGAAGTGCCATCTACTAATGAGCATGTACCCCTTGTCAACCTGGTCTCACCAGAATGCGTGACTCTACCACGACTCCTTAAAGCTCCCATGTCATGCTTTTCCGGTTATTACCCGTCCCCTTGTGTGTTATGAAGGTTTTTATGCATGTAAACGGTGTGCAGAGTCAAAACCCTCAAAGTACACCCTGTAGCGAGTAAAACTCTAACACAGAAAATACCTCCCCAAAACGCCTCGTTGGAGATACGTCACTGCCCATTTGAGTCTTACGGGTACGGCCTGATGTCATGCGGTACCCGGAACGAAATGGACCAATCCCGAAGAGCTATGGCCACACCCAGCGGCGCTGGCCGCACCCTCTGCCAGCCTAACATTTACTGTTGGAAGCTCTGGTTCAGTTCACAATCATCCAGTCATGCCACTGCCAAGGACCTGTTTCCTGAAATGTGAGGAGAAATCTGAGCTGTTTGTCCTACCGACGGAAGAACCACGACGAAGTCAGTGGTTGAAATTTCTTTTTAACACTGTTCCTTCAGAGGTTCGAAGAACCGGCATTTCACAGACGAAAGCTTCCAAAACATTGCCCAGTTTGAGGCCGGATATGCACAGCTTGTTTGGACCGTTTGGAGCAGGGGAAGATTCGGGTACACAACCTGTAAGTTTGCATTGTTATTTGTGTATTTATCAAACAAGACTGTTTAAATGTGTAAACTGTGTTGGCAGTGGCGACTGGTCATTAGGGGCAGGTGGGGCACAGCCCCATCTAGTGTCAGCAGAAAGTATTACAAATAATGATTACAAAAATGCAAAAAAATAAATAAAAAAAAATATAAAATATATTTTAAGATCATGTTTAATCATCTGATTCGTCTGTACATTGCTGTTTTAGTCTGTGTTCTTCTAATTAGTGTGTCTACAGTCACAGTGTGTGCCTATTGAGCTGTTTAGAGCCATGTGGGACAAAACCTGATTATGCCCCTTCCTCTCGCTGTGAAGTCAACGGTGACTGTAAAAACTTCACTGCGCATGCTCAGAGTGTTTTGTAATGAAATGTGTGTGGCAAAAAAATAATGACCAGAGGGGCATGGAGCTACCATCCCCACCATACGTCATCTCAAATCATTCAGAGCTGATTGGCTGTAAGTACGTGTGCCGCGAAAAGTGTGGTGCTTGAAGAGGAGACGAGAGAGCTGCAGTGACGCGTCCTAAAACCAGGAAGTAAGCACAAAAAAGCAATGAGATTTCTCCAGAGGATTTTAGAAAATAGCTCGAAATAAGATCTGTGGGAAACGTACCTGTTTGATAAATGCACGTTTTGATTAGCCGGATAATATCCACATGTCTACCCTACTTATATAATTTTTTTATCATAAATCTATGGATTAGATTTATGATAGACTTTTGAAACTACAAGAACATAAGGAGGACTTTTACAAAAAAGTAATAGAAATGTTTGTCCAGAAGGATAGGCAAATGGACTTCATCTTCAAGTCAAGGTAAGACCGCCATTTTATTGAAAATGGGATCTTACTAAGAGAGAACAATTCAATATTTAAATGATAAAATGACATTTTTTGGGTATCCTTTTGTTGAACTGTCTGTTTAAAATTAATCGAAGCATCAGACAAAAAAAGCTTTTGAAAATAATATTATATTTTGGTTTAGGTCAAAATATAATATTTGTAAACCTGAAGAGTCAGTGCCAGTGCCTCACCAGCCATGAACCTCACTGCACGTCACTGCAGAAGCTTATATATAGACATCTAAGTTTTTTGTGCCCCACCACTTTTGTACATATAAAAACGCCACTGTGTGTTGGACTGCTAAGCCATTGACACAGTGCTAACTGTGCTAACTAAGTTGCTAGCGTTTCCATATATCAACTCTAATATCAGCAGATGGCCTTGCATACATGTATCTCATAGCAGGAGAATGTCTGCATTGACACACAAAATACCTATTGACAGTATACTCCGGGTGATTTGCCGTGCGGTCAGTCGCGAAACGTAATTACATTATAGCTGGCGTAGCGTGTATGCTACCGATATAACCCACGGAGCTAGAGCTAGGTTTGGTCGGAAAAACATTTTTGTTATGCTACGTTGCTAGCGTTTAAATATATCAAC